CCGCATCCCTGTTTACGTTGTCGGCGCGAATACCCTTACAAGGGTATCCGCCCGGGCTTTTGCAAGTGACGGAAAGGCTCGGTGAACCTGGATTTTGAGTGCCTGTATGGGGAACGCGAGGGTCGTCCGCGCGCGGGCAAGGGTCTGCCTTGTCTCGGTAGGGAGTATGTGGGCGCACAAATTTAAGGCGCGCGTGTGATTTTTCTGATTGAGTGGGCGGTCGGGGTAGCCGACCGACCCGGACCGTGCTACGGCCTCGGTTAGGGGATGAAAGTTTGTTTTTGATCGGTGCGCGCGGCCCGGCGGTAGGGCTGGCGCGCCGATAAGTGTACGGGACGGTCACCGCGCGGGGTGGTAGGTCGGCGCGGGCACCTAGGGGCCGTGGGTACAAATGTGGGCTGAAAAGAGTGGTCAAGGCGGTATCTTAGCCCGGAGCGCCGAGTGGTACCACTTTGTATGGGAAGCCACGCCTATAGGTCACAGGCTTGGGCTTAGCCCTATCGGTTATAATGTCGGGTTCGTGAGGCAGAGGTTTGAGGCTCGAGGCCAGCGGGCGACGGTGTGGGAGCGGCGAAAGGCTTGAGGGGTTGATGGGCCCATGGGACTATCCCCCTCACCTTTTACAATTATGGCGGCCGCGGTTCCCGCCCGACTGCCGCACGTCTGCGGGGTTATATGTATCTAATTATGTATAACTTATTTGTTTCGGATTTTTGTTACTACTATTTGTCACACCTGTATGTAAGCGCGGAACTGCGGTGGGTACGCCCATACGCTGTTGGAATGTAAGCCGGTGGTCGAACCCCGATAAGGGAACTTGGTGGGTGATGCTGTGAATCCCGGACTGCCTGGGGGCCGTTCGCCTCCGCGGTATAGACTTTGTCTTTTGGTACATCAAATTTGAAATGATATAGAGGAGGTTGGCGTGGCCCCTGCACAAGGACGGCATACGTGAACCTGAGGAAGCAGGGGCGGGCCGAGCGTTGCTGCCACCATGATTTGCAGTGCGCGTTGGGCCCGCACGCCTGAATCCTGCCCAAAAGGGGGCGGGGATCGGTAGACCCGCAAGGTAGTTGCGCAAAAAGGGGGGGGGGGGGTGACGCCCACAATCGGGGAATGAACCCGGCCGTGAGATAGGCCGGGTACGTACACAAGGGGGGCCTGATCCCTGCTAACATGGTGGGCGTGATGCAGTTGTTGATCTTCGGGGCATCCGTGGAAACGAAGGGAATATTGGGAGGACCCGCCAGGCTACTACGTGCAGTGAGGCACAAAAGGTCCGGGGGTGAACCCGGACGCGAGACGGGCCAGGTGCACGCGCGAGAGCAAGAGGAGGAGGGGCGTATCCTGTGTAGATCCGGGAGTGAACCCGGACGGGGATCGCGGCCTGGACCATGCCCGAGGTGGACGAAGCGGAGGAACTGTCTTGAACGCGGTCTTGTAGCGATCCTCCTTGTGAATCTCGAGTTGGTGATATCCCGACTTGAGGTCCAGCTTGGAGAAGAACTTGGCACCGCCCAGTCGCTCGAGAAGATCGTCGATGCGTGGGAGAGGGCCGACGTTCCTGATCGTCTGCGCGTTCAGCTTGCGATAATCGATGCACAGCCGCAGGTCCTTGTTCTTCTTCGGACGAAGAGAACAGGAGCACCGTATGGCGATGAGCTAGGCCGAATCCAGCCTTTCTCTAGAAGGTCGTCGAGTTGTGTACGGAGCACACTTAACTCTTCCTCGCTCATTCGGTAGATGCAACCGCGCGGAGGTACGGCCCCATCCTCGAGGATAATCTCGTGGCGGATGGGTCGATCTGGTACTACTCCGTGCGGGCCTTCGAACATGTCGCTGTAGGCATCGAGAAACTTGGTGATGCGTGGATTCGAAGATGAGTCCGTCGATGAAGCGTCATGGGGCGCGAGGGCGTGGAGAAAACACACCCCCATCTCCTCGATGTCATCTCTGATGATGGATGCTCGCATGCTTGCGGCGGATACCACGTGGCAGCTGATCGAAGGATGAGGAAAAGGTACCGTGCATGAAACTAATACTCCGTTCCGATCACGAATGTGAACGATGCGGTGGAAGAAGTTCACCGGGTGATCCTCGCCTCGCAGCCATGACATGCCCAAGATCATGTCGAATTTGGTGTCCAGAATATCAAAGGACACTGCCTCACTTGCGTGAGGGGCAAAGTACATGGGGACGGCATCAATGCACCGGTCGATGGACTTGTGCGTATGACCGTCTGCCAAAGTGACTTGCGTAGGCTTGGACTTCCTCCGGACACGTGGGCCAAGGCCGACGCGCACCATAAAGTCCTGGCTGATGTAGTTGCGAGATGCTCCACAATCGATCAAAGCGCTGCAGGTCGCCTCTCCGATCTGAATGAGTACGTATAGCAATGGTGCGTCGATGCATCTTGAACTCGCAGTCGATCTTCGCAATGTAGGCGTGAAGATCGACAACCTCTACTCCGGCATCCATCAACGGAGTGGGTACTGCAATGTGCAAGTAATCCCGCAATTGTGTCTTAAGCACGTTGCAATGCGGTTTCGGCAATCGTCCGATCGAGGGAACGGTCATCCACTGGAAGTCCGTGAACATCAACGGATCGATCTCTTCAAGTCTTGACCATGACGTCGAGTCCCTGGTGATAGATTGCGGCGAAGCTGCCGAATCGGTTGCCGATGGTGATGAAACTGTGCATGCGATGGATTGTTCCACGTGAAGCTGTTGGTCCAGCGGTGGAACCAAGTGGACAATATAGTCCTCGTAAGTGTAACGATAACTTGCGACATTCGCATCCTCCCCGGATGTGCAGGAGGCCGCTAGCAAGGCGGCCGAATCTGGCGGAGTAGAAGGTGGAGTCGCCTCACCTTCCGCGGAACTCAGTTTCCCGAGTTGAGGTGGGGTCGCACATCCTCCTTGCCCTGATCTTGTCACAGGGAGGTCTTGCGCTTGGTGTTGTTGCACCAATAGCAGCTGCCATAGCGGCCGCAAACCTTGTACTTCACCTCGGTCAAGCCGAACTTGACCCATGGAACTTGTACCGGCTGTCCATTTCCGGCCTGCGATGCGGATTTCGCCTTCCCATTGTTGCGGGACTTGTTGTTGCTTCGTGGCTGGACAGCAGCCACCTGATCTCCGTCACTTGATGCTGGAGTGGCTGCTGGGTTATCTCCACTGTCCGACTGGACTTCAGCGAACTGCTGCTGTTGCGGACCAGTTCGTACCTTCTCCACATAGGTTGGCTGCCACGTGGACTTCTCGTGCGCAGCCGGTCTGTTAGTCTTGATGAGCTCTCTCGCCGTGTTGATGATCTCTGCGAAAGTGTTGTACTGCTCGCGATCACCAAGTGCGAGGCTGAGAGCGGCGCATGACCTGTTGTAGAACTCACGCCGCAGATGCGGAAATGACAAGTCCAAATCGGGCATTGCCACGATCTTCTGCCAATCCGTGAGGCAATCACGTGTTGGTGTGCTCCCTTGAGCCATCGTGAAGATGCGGTTGATGGCGAGTGTCGGGGCGTCGTCGACGATGAACCGCTTCTTCCATTCCTTTGTCATATCTCCCCAGGAGACCTTCTTGTACAGGTCTGAAACCTGGACGCCATGGATGGTTGCCATGTGGCTGAGCCAGATCTGACATCCTCCCTTGGTGTTGATGAACAGAGCACTGATGAACAGATGGTCAGGGACCTCGTGAATCCCCAACTCCGTTGTGAATCCTTGCCACCAGACGACCGGGTCTTGATGTGTGTAGTCATCAAATTTCTCGATCCGGAACGTCGGCATCTTGTATGGCCTCGCCGAGCTGTTGTTGTGGCTGTGGTCGGTCTGTTGTTGCTGACTGATCTTGGAGTCCAGCAACTCGAAACGCTGGCTGATGGTGGCCGGCTCTATGAACGCACTTATGTCTCCTAGCATTGCCACTACATGGTCAACGCATTCCTCCAGTTGGCGGCTAGAGGAGGCACTGCTGGAAGCCCCAGCAGCTGGTCCTGGTACAGCCTGTTCCAGGCCCAGCATTCGGGCATTGAGTGCCCGAGTTGCATCCTCGTGGCTCTGCACTGTGCGGCGGAGCTTTGCCAAATCCTGATGCTGTTGCGTCAGGTCCTGGTACTGCTTCTCCAACTCGGACCGTTGGTAGTTGCAAGTGTACAACAGCCGTGTCATGAGTTTGGAGAGAAACTCCTTATGCTGTTTTTCCGGTGTTGGATCGTCGCCGTTCGGTTCAAAGTGCCAGAACTTGAGTCGGTCGATGCTGCTGGCTTCATGCCGCTGCAGCAGATCCTGGGCTTCCTTGCGGCGAGCCTGGGCTTCTGCGTCTGCTTCGGCCGGTAGCCGGAGCTTCTCTGCTGCTGCCTCTTCGTCAGTCTGTAGCTAGGCAGCCTTGGCTGCCAGCTGGCGTTGCTCCTCAGCCGCGATTAGTGCGAGCTGAGTTTCGAACCGCTGTCGTTATTCGGCAATAGATTCATTTGCCAGTTGGCCTGTCATGCCCAGAAGTGAGCCCGTCATGGTGGCGGGGCACTGCTGACGTGGCACTACTGACGTGGCACTATGTCTGACGTAGCACTGCTGACGTGGCACTGTGTCTGACGTGGCACTGTGTCTGACGTGGCACTGCTGACGTGGCGCTGTGTCTGATGTGGCACTGCTAACTTGGCACTGCTGACGTGGCACTGTGCCTGACATGGCACTGCTGACGTGGCACTGCTGACGTGGCACCGTGTCACTTGGGAAAGCAAGCTAAAGGGGTGGGTGGGGGAAAGCGTAGGTAGGGAAACAACCCAACAATACTTGCCTCAGCCCTAATCAAGAGATAAAAAATAATAACAATAAAGAGGACAACTTCCTCTTTTTTTTTCTTTTTCTTTTTTGTATATCTGTCGATCTATTTTGAGTGAGATATGTCAGAAGAGTACTATGAACGAGATCGGCTTTTACAAAATGCGATCTTGAAAAAAAAAAATTTGCGAAATGGAGTAAGGATGCGATTTTCAGAAAAGAACAAAATCACGTTTCTGAGAATATGGCAATCTCCGAATATGCCTGACGAAGTGTTGGTAGGCTCCGCAAGATTTCGGTTTTCAAAAAAAATTTGCGAGATAGAATGGAAATTCGATTTTCAGAAAAGCATAATTTCAGTTTCCAAGAATATGACCACTTCTATCGTTATCCCAATCTGCCTAGAAAACGAAATACTAACTTCAGAAATTCCAGCTATGAAATATCAGAGAAACGAAATGCTACTATCGGGAATTTTCAGACTAAACGAAATGCGATTTATCAAAAATTTTCAGATATTTGTTACGTGAAAACGAAATACTAATATCAAAAATTTTCAGGTAAAACGAAATGCGGATATCAGAAATCTGCAGATAGTTCTTGCGAGAAAAAAAAAATTCAGAGATTTGACGAAGTCCTACTTGCGTTACTAATGAGTGATCAATAGATCGCAAGCTAGCTACTTGATTGAGCGGGTCCTCCGAATGAGAGGTCCGCTCCGATACCAAACTGTTGCATACTGTAACGTGCAGACCAGAACAAGAACCGACCTTTCAATACAAAGTATAAGATAGCACAACGGAAGACTTAGATACCAATGATCCGAACAATCAATAGTGCAATGCAGCCCCGAACATACATCATCATCATCATGGTGTGAAGGGGTCTGGCGCTTCACACAAGAAGACTGCGCCAGCCCATACCATACACAGACGAAGAGGAAGGGGATAAACGAAGAGGAGGGGGAAGATGGGAATGTCGTCAACACCAAGTCTTCGGCACAAGCCCAAATAGTCCATCGTCGAAATGTCTGAATCCCAAATGTCAAGTCTGAATCTAATGTCGTCAAGTGTCAAGTCACAACTCTGTCTCTCTGTCGTAGTCTGAGAAATCAGGTGGCGAGAAGGTCAGAAGAGATGTTGGACTTAGAAGAGGAAGAAGAAGAACTCTCTCTCTCTCTGTGTCCAGTACTAACCTGTGAAGTTGGCGCCTTGATGCAGGTACCACGAAGATGGAGCTGGAGCGATGGCGCCACAGGTAA